GAATTTCGTGGTGATTCACACGGTACCAGTTCTAGATATCAAATATGAGACCATGGAGATTCCCATGGTAACAATTTGTTCATGTACCTGTACCTGCCTTGTGACTCCCTTAGCCGTTACTACCTTATATACCGATCACGGAATGACCCAGCTAATCAATCAATAGGCATGCCCGGCGCATGCCGATCCATCCATCAGCACAGTTAACCTCCAACTATGCCAATGGTCTAGATCCAATATGGGTACTATCGAAGAGACCATCCACCGTCGGCCCAATACCGCCCCGCAGTCTTTTTCGAAAAGCCCCGGGCCCAACTGGTCAATTATCCTTAGGGCGTCCCCAAAGGAATCAATAATATAGAGATATCGGATATACTTCCGACTATCTCAATTTACAGTTTGAATCCCAATGATGGTTCCACTTTGGAAAGAATAAATATCATAGTTCAATAGTCTTGCGATTCCAATAACAAGTGATATAATATCTTGTGGTCACAAAATCACAAGCAAAGAAAGGTACGATCAATGGTTTCAATAAGAGAGTGACCACAGTTCAAGATCGTATAACAACGATTCAAGTGAAAATAGAACTATTACGATTTCGATAACAATTGATGAAGATGGATCTCAACAACAATAGTCTACGGTTAGAATTGAATAACTCGAAAGACAAATGGTTCTAAAAGATCAATGAGAAGTCAAGATATGAACGATATCCGATTCATCAATTCAAAGTATGTACGAAGCGAATGATTTATTGGATAAACACAATAATCCTAAATGGTCCAAGAGTCGGGAAAGAACGATTTACGTTCATTGAACTACCGTAGAAAAAAATCAAATAATTCAATAAATCATAATAAAAGTGGTTCAACTAATAGACAAGTCAAAACGATTCAATATTGATAGAGAATTAGATTGAAACTCGTTAAGTAATTCAAGGATCAATAAAGGAACTCAATTGAGTAGCCAAAGAATCTGGATGATAAATTATTGGAATAAGTCTCGAATCAAGATGAGAACTTATTTGAATAGTTCGAGGAAGAAGATACGAACCGTCAAGAGAATTCTGAATAGATCATTATTTTCAACAATTCAAGAATCAAAGTAACATATATCACATTTAAGTGATCAAGAAGCAATAAAATATCTTATTCTCAGTGTGCATTCTATTTTTCCAATAAATAATAATGAAGAAATGAGCTAATAGCATAGACCTCCCTGTGTTATTTCTAATTGGCAAAAAGGTCCTTGTGATAAAATAATTCACAAATAACCCCTTATGTTGTGTTTTATATTGCACACTGCCCCATTTATCAGATTTAATTGTTGAATCAAGGAAAAGACAAAATTATCCCTAATTTAAAATAAAGCAAAATACCCAAACCTAATTGAAAAAATTGTACGACCGAAACAAAAGAAACAAGGATAAATATCTAGGTCGAGATCCGGCGACGGAGGTTCTTCAGGTTTCGCCCATTAAGTTTGGTGCTCCGTTTGTATACATCTACCGGTACTCTGAGAAATTGTCCCGGTCGGACGGTGGAGAGATGAAGGCCTCTTTGACTATCGTTGCGTCGGTGGTCGCCGCTTCTATCGCCGTCGTTACTTCATTTTCCTCCATTTTTGGTGACCGTGACGTCTCATTCAATTCATGTACTTATCAGGCAAATCAATAAATTCACCAGCAATCTCCTCGAAGAATGGAAAATTTGTTCAACAGTATGATGGTTGAAGTTTATAGAGCCCACAGGTGACGGCGGGGGAAGTGACGAGGCGGGCAGCGAAGCGGGGGTGGTGGCTGAGTTGGGCGGCTAGTTCGGAGTTTTTTGAGTTGTCCGGCAATGGTGATTTTGGGTGTGGTGTAGGAGAGGGCTTTTTTTGAAAGTGCAAAGGACTGAAATAAAAATTAAAAACTTCCTTTTGGTACTTATAAATAATTCAGGGTGAATTTATAATTTTCAAATTTGAGATGCAGGGTATTTGGGTCTTCTTAGGTCAAAAAATACTCCCAGACGCAAAATTCGCGAGTGTAACACACGATAAGTTGTTAGGGTTTTTTTCAGCTTTGACTATATTTCATAGGGGGGTTCTTGCCAATTTGTTTAACACGAGGGGTTGTACGGCAATTAGAGATTACACAAGGTAGGTTATTGCAAAAAACCCGTGAAGAAATAGAGATCCTCACCTGAAGTCCAATACAAGTGCTATAAAAACACCTTACTCTCGAGTCATGCTCAAGTCTTGAGAGCTTTAGTACGCTCGACACCTATAAAAATATCCATCACTTAATAAGATTCCAAATGCTTTTACAACCGTATTATTCCACTATATCACATAGTCAATTTCTTGAAGCATTTATCACGAATGTCTTGCTGCCACATCTTATTTGAACAATCGTTACGATCACCTTACTTGTCCGAATAACCTAAACAATATATCGAATTAAAGCTAACATCTGTATCTACAGATTTACTGAAGAACTGAGCTCAAATTATCAGCCTAACACAGGAATAATAGCCGCGGAAGATGATTGCATGAAACTGCCAGATTTTAAAACAATTGCATTTGCTGGCACAGTATATTTCGATAGTGGGCGTCACACCACAAGTGTAAGGCACAAAGAATATAATAAAATGTCAGTAGAGACAAACAAGGAGACCCCGACGAGCTAGAGACGTGAGAGCTCTTCGACGTGTTGGAGACCTCTAAACGAGCCGAATGTACCTCATGAGTGCCGAGCGACGAGCTGACAAGTGATGAGCCGACGAGCTGACGAGCGACGAGCGACGAGTAGCGAGCGCCGAGCTGACGAGTGACGAGTGACGAGCCGACGAGTCGTCGAGCGACGAGTGATGAGCTGAAGATGCCACCTCATGACTTAAACACTAAGAATATAAAATATAGAGTAAAAACACTTTACCCCTCAACTATAGCCCGTTTTGCACTTTATCCCCCAAACAAAATTTTTTTGCACGTTTTTACCTAAACAACGTTTTTTGTTGCACGCTGTCTCAAAAAGGGAATAATCAGAGCATTTTTGCCGGAATCTCACACACGTGCCTTTCACGTGATTTTTCCAAGAGTAAAAACGTCTCAGCACTTAGAATTTAACCTAGGGCTGTGAAAGGTACGTGTGTGAGATTCCGGCAAAAATGCCCTGAATATTCCCTTTTTGAGGCATGGTGCAAAAAAAAACGTAGTTTATGTCAAAACGTGCAAAAAAAAATTGTTTGGAGGATAAAGTGCAAAACGGGCTATAGTTTAGGGGATAAGTGCTTTTTACTCTAAAATATATTCATAATTTAACCCCTAAGACTTATAAAGTGTCATGGACTTGAAACAATTCTATTAAGCGAATTGGATATAAGCAATAGCATCCGAAAAGCCTCTCCTATAAATAGAGGGTTCATAACCCTCATGGTAAATAATCTTGGTCTTTAACATACCATTTTTCTCATAAATGTATTTCTTCGAATCTTTGAGATGTTCTAATTTGGGCGTCGGAGTGCTAATCCGGGAGCACCTCTCCCGGTCCCTTTTACAAGTTTGCGGCGAACAGGCCCAATATGGTACGGTCTTAAAGATTCAAGCTGAAAACCCAACCCGCATCAAATGGGATTAATCTATTCACTGGTCATCACTGTAATTAGAAATAACACTCTGACAAAACTCTCAAGTATAATGGGGATTTTCTAGTCACTTGTCATCCACTTTTCAAAAATTAAAAACTGAAACACACTAAAAAATCTCAATTTTTCGAATAATTCGTCTCTCGGATCCCCACATGTACGACAATAGATCGGGAGTAAGTCTTACATTTTTATGATTGTTGCGTTACGGTCAAAATCAAGAGGTGAGAAATCAAGGAGACATGAAGACCAAAATGTAGCAATAACCAAAGTCTAGGAGTCAAGGACAACAAGTGAGGAATTGCAAGAACTAAAGTGTCATCACACCACAATTTTTAACTTTATTTTATCTGTTTTATTTATTTATTTATTTGGTTGGCTCTTGAATATTGTACTACTATTGTTATTATCATTTTCTTGATCCCACAATTTGATAGTGATCTATCATTACATTTCTACATCTTTCTTCGCTTCTCATTTATGAAATGGATCAAACTCTTATTAATTATTCTGCTAAAAAAAATATTATTAATTATTATCATCTACAGACTACATGTATTTATGAGAGTTGGTAAAGTGGGTCAACTCTAATTCTTCTAATATTTATTTTACTTTCTATTATTATATATATATATGTCACACACTCATGTTATACGTCTAGTTTAAGAACATGTGAAATTAATAAGAGGCATACTCACACATCAGAATTTTAATTCTTCTATCTATAAAAATCAACTCCTCACAAGTAAGGTCTCTTTCCATTTATGTAAATTCTGATGCCACGTGTCCATCCAGCTTTAACTATTATGCAGGTGTGTGAATGGGACAACTAACACGGTTCTCGTCTCATATTTACGGGAAAACTTCGGTTTCAGTTCGGTTCGGTTTTCGATTTCTATTATAGTTTCGGTTTGGTTTCTGACACATGGTAAACATAATAATCAGGGGCGGACCCATGTGGAGACTCGCCCCTGCATAATTTTTTTTAAACCTATTTTTTATTACTTTTTTTTTATTTTGATATTTATCTATTAATTAATATACTTGGGCTTCCAATAGTTGAATTCCCTACACTTTTAGCCCATAAAAAAATATTTTTTTTCCTGAATTCACACCCATGAATATGATTTAGCCCCACCAAAAAGCCCTATAGTTCTGCCCCTAATAATAATAATAATAATAATAATAATAATAATAATAATAATAATAATAATAATAATAATAATAATAAGAAGAAGAAGGAGGCACACGCCAAATTAAACATGCAGAAACTAGTGAAATTTGACTGGAGAAGACATGATTTATTTGTCCATCCATGCATGCATGCGTAGTAAAAATTCCCAAAAAATATTAATAACCTTTAAAAAAAATACAAATTAAAAATTAAATTACAAGAAAACACTAACAACTTTGCTTCAGTCTTTACAAAGGATGTGTGCCTCGAACAGATCATAATTAAGTACTACATAATTAATTAAACACAAAATGTGGGTTTGTGTTCATCACCTCTCTCCTTCGTACTACTGCTAATTAATTTTCCTAACTAATACGAAGAAAACAATTAGTTACCGAAAAAAAAAAAACATTAATTAATTAGCAACAACTAAAAAACATCATTAATTAGCAAAAACAAAAAAGCCCGGCCCGGCCCGGCCCGTATTAAAGATTCATCAAATTCCCTTCTTCCTTTGTAGTGTGTGTGTGTGTGTTAAAGCCAAAGTGCACCAGCTTCCTTAAGGAGCGGAACCAAGTTGCCGCTAATATGCGAAGCCATAACTCTGTCCATAGCTCCGACGAGTTTGCCGCCGATGAACACCACCGGCACGGCGGAGCCGCCGCCGAGCAGCTGCGAGAGCACCCTCTCGATCTCCTTCCCCCTCGGATCCTGGTCGAGCTCGTAGACAGTAGGGCTGACTCCCATCCCGCAGAAAAGCCTCTTCACTGCATGGCACATGCAGCACGTGCTCACGCTGAACACCACCACCGCGCTGCCGGAGGCCAGCCGCACCACCCTCTCAAAAGGGTCCGCCGCCGCAACCCCCCCGCCGCCGTGGATGACGACGGAGGAGGCCGAGTAGTAGCTGTGGGTCTCCGGCTGGAACTGCATCTCGCTATTTTTCAAGAAAATCAAGAAAGTGTGTGAAGAAAA